AATGCCTAGTGGTGCCCTGACTTTCTGTTCTGAAAGCTTTGCAGAGGTTTCAGAACACACCCAGTTCTATGAGACAGCTAGAGTAGAAAGGTTTCTTTTTCGTAGCTGAATTCTAACTAATGACTGACGCAGACCTCGTTGCTGTTATAGATACGCCTACACAGAGCCTCAATATCATTGGAAAATAACACAATGATAAAAATAGCAAACATTTATTGTTTCCCTTGTGGCCAGCACTTGTCTAAGTGCTTTGTGTATATTAGCTTATTTACTCGACTTTCTAACCCCAAACAACTACTGCTGTTATCTTCTTTCACGAGTTAGGAAACTGAGAACAAAGGAGCTGAACTTACTCAGAAGTAGTTTATTAATAGCAGATTGAAAATTCAAACCCAGAAAGCTTGGCTTGCAGGTCTATTGAGTCTATCTGTAACAAACACTCCCGCTTTCTGCAGTAATGTCTGCTTAAGGACCAGGGAGACACAGCCAGCAGACTTGTAGTGTCTGCGCACTATGGATGCTCTGTGTATGCTTATCACGAAGTAGCAAAGCTGGCATGGTCCCTTTAATATTCTTGATCAATTTTAAAGATATTCTGGGGCATTAAGACATCTGTACGTGTACACACGCACATGTGCACATATGCTTTGGCAACAGCTTTTTCTTGGTGATGCATAAAGAGAGCAGAAAGGAGCCATGATCTCCTAGGAGGATAGAACGGCAAGAATAAAAACAGTGAAGAATTCAAGCACATCTTGTTGCGGATCTTTCTTTGTCTTGGGTAGAAATGCAAACGGATGGAAGTGGCCAGTGGCTGCAAACACTGAAACTGTGTGGACATGAGACAGGCTGGCATGCTTTCCGTGGCCTCCACCTAAAGGAAGACTATGATTTCCAACCGAGGATCTTAAGGTATGAATCAGCATCTGGGAAGACATAAAGTCCCACTGACCGAAGAAAAGTAAGAACAGTAATGGTCTGAGTATTTGGTCATCAAAGCGAGGCACGAGTACACAATACTCAAAGACGACCAGTTTGGAAATCTAAGTGGAAGTGTCTGGTGATGAAAGCTGGGGGCTTCTTTCTTTATTACACAATATAAGGTGCCATATACAACATAGAAGCCCTGGACACTCAATGCTATCATTTGCGCTGTCCTCACTGGAAGGTTTCATTTGGAGGGAAAGTCTAAGCACAGAGGCTCAGAAATGCCTGTTAGTATTTCCAGAAAAGCTGTAATTCCTCTTCTCATCCACGTGCTAGACTTGAAAAAGGGTCAACTATGTTCCTGGGAAGAGACACAATTATTTGCTTCTCATCAGGGAGATGGGGGCTGTGTGGCTGGGGATTTGATTTGGGAAAACTTAATTTGCATAGTTTAAACCACATTATCCAATGAGGCCCAGATCTCTTAGCTGCAGCATCAAAATCTCCAACCATTTATGAGCAATGGGTTGCCGCCATTTGGGTGACGGCACAACCCAAAATAACCAGTCAGTACTTAAAGTTTACTCGAATGAAGCCGCTTATTTTCCCAACCTTCCTAACGATGTGGCCCTTTAACATAGCTCCTCGTGTTGTGGTGACCCCATCCTTAATTATTTTGTTGCTACTTCATAATTGTAATTTTACTATTGCTATGAATCATAATGTAGATATCTGCTATGTAGGAGATATCTGATATGTGACCCTCAAGGGGGTCACAGCCCATAGGCTAAGAACCACTTAGTTAGGGTTTTGCCACCAGAGAAGACAGGCATTTTAGAATTTAAGCTCTACCACAATTAAAGCATTTACTAAAGTCCAGGCCCGTGTTCTTATAGATATATGTGTGGCATGGCTGCTAGTCCGGAGCCCACCTATTGAACAGGAAATACTCATTTTCTCCTTCAAAGACAGGAGAGTTCACCAACTCAATTAATCCAGGAGATCAGAGGTTAAAAGACAGTGGCCTTGATAGCAAAGGCAATGTCTTATTGTCCTTCTGCATGAAGATTTTACTTAATTCACACTAGACTGGTTCAGAACAGATGCATGGGATCTCAGAGCCCTCACAGTCTAATAACTGGGGAGACCCCTGCGGAATATTTTCCTTTCCATATGCTTGGACTGGTTAAGCTTATCAACACTAGACAACTTTGTATGTGTTTTGAAAACATTGTTCCAAAGAAGTATATAGGTTGTGCAGAGGCTACATGGCAAGAAAACTACCAAGGATTAAGAGGGATGCCACAGATGAATGGGAATGAGGCTGGATGAAGTTCATTCACTAGGGAAGTCTGGGATAACGCGATTGCCTCCCCTGACAGGCATCCAGCATCATCCACGTAGTGAAGACAGGTCAGACGCAGACACACTCTTGGAGAAGTACAAATCCGCTACACTCAGGGGTTCTCCGGCATGTCCCATAGCTACTTCTCAGTGGGAACAAGGGGGTTGGGGCAGTTGTGTTCTTTTTTAGTTACTCATATTCTTAGAGTTAGAAAACTCTGGGCAGCACTAACTCACCATCTTTGGCCATGTAGATGTGAGGCATTGATAGCGATCTGGATTTTGCCTAGACTGGCAGAGAGCAGCAAAGTAGGCATTTTGAGTTTCCTATGGGAGCTGTCAGTTTCAGTCTGCTGTAGGAATCCAGAAAAGTGGCTTCACTGTGTAAAGCCTTAGCTGTCTCACCAGTAGAAGAGGAAAAATCCCTTTGTTCACCACTCTTAGATGGGTTGTTTGAGGATGATATCAAAATTGAATGAGCTAATGCATGGAAAGCTAATTATCCAGCCTGAAGACACACACTGCCATCACTGTGGATGGGGAAATTCCAATTCCACACGAGTTTTGTAAAGCAATACCTATGAAAAGCATCATCTCAGTAAGAGTCTGTTGGGTTTCCTAAAACAAAGCAAAACAAAAACTACTACAACTTCAGCACAAAACAGCTTTTATTCAGAATGCAAATTGGGCTTCTGCTTATAAAGGAGACATGAGATAATATCCTTTGTCTTAATTTGACAGTGGAAAGGCTCTTCATCTTTAGTATCGTCCAAGAATCTAATATTGGATGCTACCAAAACACAAGCATTTGCTTTCTAAATTGCATCTATAAAGATGCCATGGTAAAGTGCTGCCTTGGATGGAGCATTTCCCAGAGTTTTAAGGCTTCAGGTTGAGAGCATTAAAAATGCCCATCTCTGCCTATTCTCAATATGTCCTTGGCTCTTCAATCTGGATAAAATTCAAAGTCCTGCTTCTACTAAAATTTCTCAAGTAATCTTCACATTTCTGGTCTTTTAAGAGCAGCCTGGAAACCAACCATCAAAATCAGTTGATCAAGGGGTAAGAGTTGTGTTTGCTTTCCCATGCTTCCTGTGTGTTAAAGTTTTTTGAGCAACCAAGTTGAGGGTTTGAAGAATAACACACAAGCTCAGGTGTACACAAATGAGGTTAACTTTGTTTCAGTTTCAATATAAGCTCACAACATCAATTCATTATCATGCAATCCTAGAAAATGCACATTTAACGCAATAAAAAAAAATTAACGCTGCTAACGTCAATAGGACACTAATTGTATTTCAGAAGCAGTTTGCCTAAAGGCCAAGACAGTGCTTTGGTTGGCTTCACAGCAGGGCCATAATTCACATGGCATTTAAGAAAGTCTTGGAGAACAGAAAAGTTCATGAGTAAACATTACCTGACATAATTCTTTCACACATGATTACTGGGACTTGCAGCTTTCCTGGAGCCTAACTTTAATGTTAATCCTAACATTCCTTAATGGTTATTTAATTCAGATCTTATGTCAATGTCCTGGGTGGCATACTTGATATAGAATGATTCTTAATGTCAGCACCCTTTGTCTGGGAAAGTGAGTTGTAAAGGCAGGGAAGGGTAGCCAGGCACACCTGCCTCTAAGCACAGAACTCTCCTATTAATCACTGTGTGCTGTTTATCTGATTCTTTCCCCATGGTGACCACAGAAGCTTTCCCGGAAACTTCCGGTAGTGCGCCTTTCCCCTTTAGAAGTGTTTACAGAACGGTACCTTTCCTGTCCTCTTACATGTATTTTACCAGCAACCAGAGCCTTGAGTGTTTAAGGGAGCCAACTCTTCACTGATTACTAAAAAAAAAAAAAAAAAATTAGGCCAGAGGTTTGTTAGGGTACAGAAAAAGTTAATTCTTGAATATCTCACACCGGGCTTGTATAAACTTATACACTCATCTTATGGCCAATTCTCTGTCTCTGTAGTCTTCCCTCCTTTCTTTCTCTCTCTCTCTCTCTCTTTCTTTCTTTCTTTCCTTCCTCTCTCTTTTCTTCCTTCCTTCCTTCCTTCCTTCCTTCCTTCCTTCCTTCCTTCCTTCCTTCCTTCCTTCCTTCCTTCTCTTCTTTCCTGAAGACATACCCAGTTTGCTGTACGCATCCTTTCTTTTTTCCCCACCACCCGGGAAGGAAAGTTAACTGTAGGAACTGAGGGCTGACAGGGTTTGGCCGCCCAGTGCTCCTGTTATAGTCACTGCAGAAGCCCCAAACCAACAGCTTTTCATGGATCACCTACCAGGTGCCTGACCAGAAGAGCAAGAACTCCACCTTGGAGACCTGGTCCCAGCACACAGCTGAGATGAGCTCCTTTGAGCTTCCCCTCACCAGTTCTGCGCTGGGGTGAGCGCCACTCTGTCCAGGAACCACCAAGAGCCTGTGCTCCCTGGATCTCCACGGGCCTTCCTACCTGAAGGACCTGTGTTTCCAGGAACGTATTTGCCACCCCGGTGGGAACAAGTGACGGCATTCAAACACTTGCCACCAAAGGACAGCTCCGGTTTGCGGTTTGCGATTGTCAGGCAAAAGAAACTCATACAAGAAAGCCAAAGGGGATGTGTTGGTAGTGGCAGAATGGATCCTCTAGAAAGCACCTACCAGCCTAGCCCCTGCTATGTCCGAGAGTGACTCGGGGTAACAAGAGTGTCCTAGCAGTCAGCAGGCGAGCGAGCGGATGAGTTAAAGAAAAATAAGTGATTGGAATAAAATTCCCACGCGCTCCGGACTGCGGCTGGAGGCAGGGAGCCCGGGGACGCGGGGTGCACCCGCCTGAGTAGCTCCACACATGTAGCTCCACACACCGATCGAAGGACAGACAGACGGACGAACAGGGGCAAAAGACTTACCTTCAGGGTTGGCGCTGATGAAGACCCGGACGCTGCGGCCGGCGGGTACGAGGTGAGAAGGCAGAGCCGCGAGATTCCCGGAGAACGCCGCCCTCCGGAGCGCGGAGTCCCGCGGACAGGGCGGCTTGTTGCCCGCGCCGGCTGGCCACATCGCGGAGCGGAGGGTCGGCCGCCGTCTCCGCCACTGCTGCTGGGGTCCCTCCCCTCCGCGGCCCGGGGCGGGCGACGTCCGCTGCGCCGCGGCTCAGAGGCGCCCGGGGCTCCGGGAGCAGCCGGCGAGCTCCGCGGCCATGCGGACGGGACCCCGGATTCCGGCCGCCGCCGCCTCCCTCGCCTCCGGGGCCGCCTGGGCTCCCGCCGCGCTCGGCGCCGCAGCGCGGGAGGGCAGAGCGGGGGTGCTACGAGGGCGGCGCCGCGCTGCGCCGGGGACAGCCCGCTGGGCCCCCGGAGCCCCTGGCCATGCCCCGTCCGTGCCCTCCGCGGGAGGAGGCGCCGGCGGCGGGCACCCGGGCGGGTCAAAGTTTAGGCTCGGGCGGCCGGGGTCGGGCGGGAGCGCGGCCGCGGGCGCACGGCGGCCGGGGCAGCCCCGGACCTGCGGCTTCCTGCGAGGACTCGCCCGGAGCCGGCCGCTCCCTAGCGAAGGGCGGAGACGGAGCGGCCCGGGACTCGCGCTCGCTCCGCGGCAACTCCCCAAAGGTCAAGCCAGCCCCGAGCGAGCGCCTGCGGGAAGCCGGGGCGCGGGCGTCGCTCGCCTTTGCCAAGTCCCCAAAGTTCACCGCGCCTCGACACGCGAGCCCAGGCCGGCGGCAGCGCTCGGCGTCGTGGGGGAGGGCCACGGCCGCTCGCTCTGCCCGGCGCGGCGTGGGAGGCCGCTCTCGCCCGGCGCTCCCTCCCCACGCTCGTGCGCTCGGGGGATTTTTATAGCTGTCCCACGCCGCTCACGTGGCCCTTCCCGCGTGGCCGCAGCCCCTTCCCGGGGCCGGATCTCGGCGGGGCAGTTCTCCCCAGACCTTTGAAGGGCCGGGGAGCCTCCCGCCTCCCGCTGACAGAGCCTTCCCTGGCTGTCTGCCCTCTGGGCGCTCAAGAGCCAGGAGGCTTCCTGGGCCCTGGGAGTCTCGCCCCGAGGGTGTGAGCTGCGGCTCTAGGAGAGAGTGCGACCCTGGGGAGGGGAGGCACGTCGCCCTCCAGGCCCCGTGTCCGGCAGAATGCAGGGGTTCATAGTTTGGAGGTCTGGGTGCGGAAGTTGGCCCCAGGTAGTTGGCACTAGCGGAGGAGCCTGACTTGCTCCACTCGAGCCCGATCCAGCCACCCCCAGACTGTGTATCCCGGGGCAGGCAGGAGCTGACGGTCCGCGGGATCCCACGCGATGCGCACAAGTCCAGCTGTAATATTGCCGTCCCCCTATAAGCCCCAGGAGAGGAAACAAGTGTAATTCTGTCTGGCGAGGATGCAGGAGAGAGGGAGGATTTGGAGCCTGACTTGAAGTCTTTGAGAGAAAGCACACCCCATCCACAGCGGAGGCTGGGAGGGACGGTGGGAGCGGAGTTTAGTTCTGCAGCTGCTTGATCGGGTTCACAATCACTTGATCTTAGATGGTTGGTAGTGCCAGCCCGGCTACGGTGTGAGACCTCGTCTCAAATAACAAAACAAAAGGACAGTTGCTTGATGACATGTTTGTCTTCTCAGCGGAGGCATCTTCTGGCACCGCCAGCACCTGCACTTCCTCTGGGTCCTGCTGGTGGCAGTGAAGTTCTGTGTACCGCTGTTTACAGTCTTGGAGCTCCCCACACCCAACACACATTCTGGGGTAGCCTCTTTGGAAGAAATGGGTCTCTAGGTTTCTAAGGCTCCAGCTACTCCCGAGAGCACGGAGCAGACAGCACCTGTTACTGTGTGAAATTTTCCCGGGACCCAAGAACAAGCCCTGAACAGGACCCAGCCATCTATTCAGTCAGTTCACTGAAGCGACTGAACTCTCCTAAAAGTCACAATTCCCTAGTGGGAAGATGCTCAGTCGGGAGCCCTATCCAGACAGGCTCGCCCTGTATGTCCCTTGGCTGTAGACTGAGAATTCTGGAACAGATAATGGATAGAGTGTTGTGAAGATATAATGTCTACCACAGGACAAGAGACAGGACCACGTTATGCCTCATCTTCCAGTTATTATAAAACATGGATTGGAAGTTTGCAGACCGTCACTTCCTGAACCCCCTACTCTTATGTTTCTGTTCTTAGAATCAAGAGCATGTTTGTGCCTTGTGACCTTTGCTTCCGATCTTGCTCCGGTGTTGAATTTTCTTTGAATGACTTTGGGGTTTTTGGCAGCCTTTGTAACCTAATTAACTTCTAGACAGGCTGAGGTTTAGCGTCTGCCTGTGTCCCGGCAGACCAAGTCTGCAGAGGAGAGATCTGTCACTGTCGCCCAGCCTCTGCACCACCGCCTTCGCAGGATTTAAAGAAGAGCATGTTTTGAGCAGGGGGAGGTCTCTGCCTAAAGATACAGAATCATCACTCCCACCCCACCTCTTCCTTACAGTATTTCAGTCTATCTCTTTTAAACAGTCTGAAAACAAAGATTAATTTCTCAGAATGAAGATAGCACAAAGGAGAGGCCATCCATCGTGGTAAGATTTCAGTGTTAATTCCTATAACTTCCCAGTTTGAGGAATTAGATTCCTGATTGATAATTAGATAGATAGAAATTCCAGATTTCAAAATTTTGTCTTCTTCAGTAAATACTAGAAGTGTTCTTGCATTTTTGTACATGAAAGCATGAGGCTGAAAAATATAAATTCCTATTACAAGGTCATATAAATAATCTATAGTAGAACGAGGATCCAGGTACTAACTCCTGTCAAGACTTTTGCAATATAATAAATCCATTTTCTAACTGTCTATGTCTGGCCTTGGCTGAGATTTTTAACAGCCTAGACAATGGCTGTTCAGTCCAAGAGTACAGATGTTGAAGGCTGGCAGTCCCTTCTGCTTCCAGGAAAGATCACACAGGCCTACACTCCTCTGACTTCTTCCTTTCTCTCTCTCTCTTTTTTTTATAATGTTTTAATTTTTTTTCATTATTATCCCACATGAAAATCAATATCATTCCAGAAACAGGCAGAAGAATGTAAAGCATCTGGAAATGGGAAGAAAAAGAAGTCATGAGGACCAAGCTGCTCTCATCGGCATCCCTTCTCTACTCTCACCCACCCTAGCCGGCAGGCTGGAAGCCCCTATAAAACAGTGGCATCGGCCCTTTATAATAATGACCTGTGGGAAGGTAAAATCACTGCTAGGCTCCTTCTAGTCACTGGGCTGGAAAGAGTCATTTGCTCACAGAATCCATCTTTCTTGATGGAGAAGTTAATGACCCTGAAATAAATCGTAATTCCATTAAACCAGTATGTATTGATATTGCTTTACTGATCACTGTCTGTTGATGCACACTGCTTTAAGCTTTAATTAGTATCTCATTTAATTATACTGCATTAAAGGTCTTGGCCTACCATATCCTGCCTCCACTCTAGTATCCTGTTTTAGACATTATTGTCCCTTGCATGCCATCTTTAAAATTATTATTTGTTTATTTTTATTCTTATACATTTAAAATGGGAACATCATCGCATCGCTTTCTCCTTTTCTTTTCTCCCTTCATTCTCTTTCAAGTGCCCTGTTCCAACTTCTTCTGTGCCCTCCTTCTCAAACTGATAGTCTCTCTCTTGTTATTGTTTCAGATGAGCATGGATGAGTATGCATGGATATGTACATACAGGCCACGAGTCCATTTTTCTTGTCTGTGTATATGGTTTCAGGGATGACCGCTTTATATTGGCCTCATTTCTGGGATAGGCCTTTTCTCTCTCAGCAGTCGTTGGTTGTCCGTGTTTCTTTATTTAGGTGACTCCATGATCCCCTCCCATTTCATGTCCTGTTAGCATGTCTCTCCATGTTGCCACTTGTTCAATTCCTCTTCCCTGATGTTCCTTGAGCCCTCACTGTGATACAGATGTATTCACCTGGGCTGGCTTTCCCACAGCCTGTTATCTCTGCATTCGGTCTAGTTGTGGATTTCTGTCATGGTTGCCATTTGCTGTAAGCTTCACTGATCACATTTACTCTTATGTAAGGAGAAGAGTTAGAATGTAGCTAGGAATTACGCTGGTCTATGGCGGTAGTCAATTTCTCTTCTGAGATATATGACCTCACCAGCCCTGGGAAGATGGCTGGGCTTTAGTACCAGGCATGATTTCTCTCTTGCTGAGGGACCTTAAGTCCAATTACACTCCCACTGCTTGCCGCCAACACGTGAGTGCCACTTTTTGTACATTCAGAGGTCTATTGACATGCTGGTCATTGCGGTTCTTAGGCATTGTAGCCGTGTGGGACTATAATTGGCTCCCTCCACTGGCAGCTTGTGCGGTATTTTCTGGTACCAAGGAGGTTAGACTGCAGGAAGGAAGCCTTCAGGCTTAAATAATACAAGTCCTGTATCATTAATGTGTGTGGGGTCTTTAGCAGTGGGGGCTTGTCTTCAAGCCCTGAGAGGCAACTAAAGGCAACAGCAGCCTATATTTTGGGAGTTACTTGGACTCCCCTGACCAAAGAAAGGAGCTTTCTTGTGCTTGATAATGTTTTTTTTTGTTTGTTTGTTCTGTTAGTCCATGTTTCTTATTGTCAACCAAGTAGAACATCTTCCTTGATGATACAAACATACACATATATACACACACACGTATAATACACATATACACATGCATGCTTTGCTTGTTTTAGTCCATAATGTGCAAACATACCTCACCTACCTCCCCTGAGGTGACGGTGGCTTTAAACCCGTTTCAGGCTGTGCCACATGCACCTTTCTTTTGCTGGGGTGATGGAGACTGGCAGGAGAAATTACAGGAGTGGCTCTGACCCCAGCATTCGCGCCTACACGTACACTCACGTCTTTTATATCAAATATCCTGACCTGGAAACTGGTTTCCTGTTCTGTGTTTGTGCAGTTCATGGGTGAAGGTAGTTTTAATGTCCCTAGTGTGATGAAGAAAGCAAAAACAGACAAACAAAAAACAAAAAACAAAGCAAACAAAAAGCCCCCCCCCCCCCGCGCATGTTTCTGTTCTCCCTCAGGGAATCAAGCCAACGCAGCCAGACATGCACCCTTTATGCTTGCCAAGCTGGAGGCATGAGCTCAGATACAGCATCACATTCCTGCTCCCAGTGGCTTTCTGATTTGGTGATAAATATTTGATTCTGCTTTGCTAATGTAAGAAATGAATAATACATGGTCACTCAAGCCTGGATTCTACTTCCCAAAGTTCCAGCTCAGGATATGGGCTGGACCATCAAGAACCCACCCACTTGTTTACAAACTGGAAACTTTCAATAGCCGTGAGAATTTGTCAGCACAACAATCTGTCAACATAGATGGTTGATTCAGAGGTGTCTGCAGCGTGAGAGAAAATGCAGCAGCTGAGCTTTAAATAAAGTTACACCTTTCAGGAAGCGCTATCTGATGTTTTCATGACTCAGAACTTCTAACTTTAACCCGCCCCTTCCAAATCTGTCTAATGCATTTTTGATCAGTCTCCTTACAATCTTACGAAGACGTTGTAATGAGAGCACTATGGTTGCCACCCAAAGTAGAAGAAAATAAGTTTTGAGATAAAAATACACCCATTATTTCATATTTCTAAATTAAAAATTTTATTTTCACTTTACAGCTGCCAGCTTTTCTCCTCGATGACAGTCTCAAATGTGCACCTTAGGAACCTGATTTCACCATCTGACACCTATTTGCGGAAACTTATTTATTTATTCGTTTGAAGGGCTTTCATACATGCTAATTTACCTTGTTTCTAACCCCGTGAGGTGAGTTCTGCATTAGCTGTTCCACCCTCCTGTTGTGTATGGAAAAGCAGCTCAAGAAACATTTAGCAGCATTGCCAAACTTAAGAGGCAGATTCCTGAACACCAAGCCACACGTCCATAGTAATATATTAGCCGGCCGCCGACCGCTAAGATCCTCTTGGCCGCATTGATGAAACCATTTGTGGCTGTATAAAATCCATGTCCATGGTTCTGCAAACTAAGCCACATGGCGCGTAGAGCCCTCGCTCTTCTCGTGAGAGGTGCTCTCCACAGTGTCTGTTTACACCCCACATTGTTGTTTGTTTGTTTGTTTTATGGGTCAGAAGTCAGTTTCCACATCCTTAGATCCTAAGAACTAGGTTTGGTAGGTGAATGTTTTAACTTTCCCCTAGGTTGACGAACACCTGGAGTGAAGAGGAGAGGTCTGTTTGACTCACTGAGGTCTGTTGGGGGTTTTAGGCCCCACTGGTTAGCCTTGTTGCTGTTGGGTCTACATGGAACAGTGCAGCACGGTGGGGAATGGAGAGAGCACGGCGAGGTAAAGCTGCTCACATTATGACCTGCGTGAAGACCGACCTCTGCACAGGCAGGACCGCAACGAACTAAAGCCTCCCTCACGTTGAAGGGAATGGGGCCAAGCCTTTACCGCACAGGTGTTTAGAAGACTTCAAATACAAGTGGGAGCAGCAGCAAAGGTGGCTGAGAAAATTCAGAAAGTTTATCTAAGTCCAGAGAGCCAGAAAGTACAGGGCAAGAATGCCATCCAGATTAATCTCACCATTCCAGTCGACAATATCTTTTCATTTCGTAAAGCCAAGTCCGTAAGAAAACGTTAAAAAAGTCTTATTCTTTAAGCTGTTTCATGCTGGTATGGCCCATGTATTTGAAATATGTTTCTCACGTCACTTGTATATATATTTTCATTGTTTAAATGCTTGTATGTACATAGAATTCTGTTCATCTTGACTGTGCATTGAGTTTGCTTTTATCTACAAAGTACTGTGATGGAACAAGCGTTTTCCTTGGCTCTTTGTCCTATAAAAGTTGAATATATGCACTGCCGTCTCCCCAAGGATGTGAAAGTCACAACACTTATGAAGTCTGGAATGAGCGGTCAATCCACGCAGCAACGACTCCATCAGTGTCCGCTCCTGGGCTGCCCGGCTGTGAGCAGCTTGCTCCAGTGTCCACGTCTGACTCTCATGCTTGCCCTGACGCACTGCCTCGCCATCGCCCGCAAAGCCAGAGGTGCAACGACTGGACTGAAACCTGTGTGACCTGACACAGACCATTTGTCCTTTTAACAAGATGGATACGAGTGGTCATTGTGCAAATCTCTCTCATAACAATTTTGTGAGTTCTATTTAAAAAAAACAATCCATAGATTTACCATCTTCGTTTCCTGCTTTATGTTTGTTGTTTGATAACATTGGCCTCTCAAGATAACAAGCTCATCATAGGTTCTCAGCGGGAACAGTGACAGAGTGGCACCACGAGTGTTTCTGGATCTGCTTTCGTAAACGTAACTTATCCTATGGCCTAAATTTATAAAACCCAGCGCAGAACTTATTAGGACAGCTACCTTTTGAAGAAGGGACTAGGAAGTCAGCTACAATTGCTTTGCAGTGTCGAGAAACATAAGTGAAATGATTCAAAATCAGGTTTTAAATTTCCGACTTGTTATTTCTTGGTAAATATAAGAAAAATCATTCCACTATCCCATGGAACAAATGTAAAATTTAGATTTGTTTTTTTTGCCACAAATAAATGCAGTGCAGTTTTTCTTTATAAAAACATACACTAAAAGAACTATTTATATTTTATCATATATGTAATAGATACTATATATTTTAATATATATAAAAACTACATATTTTATTATAAGCTATAATTATGTGCATTAATTAATTAATTAATTAATTAATTAGCGAGGAGGCTGTGTGCGCATGCCCGGCGTGGATGTGTGCAGAGCAGAAGGCAACTTCCTGAAACAGACTTTCCTTCCGTGACGTGGAGCCCAAAGCCTGAACTCTAGTCATCAGCCTTGGGATCAAGCGCCCTTTTTTGCTGAACCATCTTGTTAAAACACATATAACATTATTGAAGACACTAAACATTGACCCACTTATGCATAAGCCGAAATTCTTACCTCATAGGTAACTAAAGCAGAGAAAAAGAGCGCAAAAACATATAAAGCCAAGAATATGAAGTGGAAGTGTTTAGGAACACTCGAGACAGGAATGGGAATGTTGTCCAGGAAGGAGATGTTTCTATGTTTCCACTTCTGGGTCTGTCCTGGCACCTTGACTGTCCGTCTTCCAGCGTCTGGTATTTATGGTATTTGTAAGGGTAGACATGCTCATCATGGAAAGACTGGCCAGCTCTATGCACAGTGAAGCAAGTCATGTCAGCGGTGCACAGATGTTTGTGTCCTTCCCAACTTCTGGGAATTTCGCTCCCAGGAGCACAAGTGCTTACCTAAAATTTGCAGCAGCTTGTCTTAAGAAGACGTACAAAGTTATATAATTGCCTCTCTTCTTTGTACACATATTTGCCATGGAATTCCTATCGCCAACAACATTGTAATGTTTGTCCTCTGAGCTGACTGTGCCTTAGGAACACGTGTGTGAACCTTTGATCACACGTCATGATTTGAATCTGACCCACTCCCCTCCACAGTTGCTTGTATTTGGAACGCTTGACTCCCCGTTTGTGACCAAGTTTTGAAGTCTACTTAACATTGTGGCTTAGTGGGTAGAAAGGTCACTTAAGGGCAGGCCTTTGAAGGTGGTGCCCATTTCATGCTATGGCCTGCTTTCTGTGTTCTGCCTCTGCTCTGTGACCCCAGATACTCTCCTGTAGCCGTGAACTGCACTGGGCATTCTCGGCCATGGTGGATCAAGATCACAGGAACTCTAAACCTAAGCCTTTCTTCCCTTCAATAGTTTTTGTATTCTGCTAGAGGTACAAGAAAAGTGAATACAGAGCGCTTATCTCACAATAATTTAAATGCCTTTTTAAGTATTAAAATGCTTAGGTGGTATGAAAGTTTTAATGAGAAAAAATGCCACACCCAACCCCCTGCTCATAGGCTTATGTATTTGAACACTCAGGCCACAGATAGTGGTGCAGTTTGGGAAGGCTCAGGGGGCGGGGCCGAGCTGGAGGAGGCACTAACCGAGAGTCTGTAGTATCGTTTTCCATGTCTCCCTCTCATTCTGCCTTGGATTCTTTTTTGTTGAGGATATAATCTCTCAGCTTCCTGTTCCCACCACGATGCCTGCCTTTTACTACCATGCCTTCCTGTCATAACAGACTCTAATTTCTGAACCATAAGCCCCAAATAAATTTTCTTCCATGGATTGCTTTTGGACAACAGAAAAGTGGTACAGGTAGTCACGGTAAATGGAAAGTGCTAAGTTAAAACTGTTTCACTTTCTCTGAACCATTGTGTTAATAAGAAGGAGAGGATGAGCAGTTCAATGTCTGAGTAAAGACTCCTTCAAAATGAAGTCTGATTTAGATGGGAAAATAAGCAACTATGGGCCGCCCTACTGAGAGCTTTTGGCAAATTTTGATTGGTTTACTTAAGTTGATAAATGACCTAATGGAAATTATAAACTTATAACAGCATTATTAAATCCCAAACACCACAATATGCTCTGAAAGCACCAACTCCATTTGCTGTACACCAGCCTGGGAACCATCACCACTGGGCGCAGGCCAAGGCCAGTGGTGTTACCCCCCTCAGTCCGGCACTGCCATGCCAGGCTCAGGAGTCCTGGGAAAGTGGAGACCCACAATGTATCAAGTGTCAGGGTGTTCATGCACCCTCTCAGCAGGAGAAGCAATCCCAAGGATGTAACTATCAAGACTCACACACATCCTTAGAGCAAATGTGTGGCACGTAATCTTTCCCCCCATGCCACTAAGAATATTTGCTACCATGAAAAAAATCAATTAAATGACTTTTTGCACTCTAAGTTAGAACAATGATCCCCTATGCCACCCAGACTCGGATGGCAGGAAAAACTCACCTCCTCTTTGTGTGAGCACAGAATTCAAACAACCTGGTTTCTGGTTGACAACAGATTAGAAAAACAGAACTAAAAGTGGATAAAAGGCTGTTATTGAGAACTGTGCTTCTAGAAGTAAGAAATGCTTGCTCACAGCAATGACTCAAGAAACGTGAGAGCGCGCGTGCACGCACACATGCACACACACACACACACACACACAGCACACTGCTCCACTCAGTGTAGGACTGCTTAATTGGGGGCAGCAGTGGTACTAGACTGCTGGTAGGAGCTGAGGACGCTGGGGTTTGTCTTGTAGTTCTTTTAGCCAAGATGTGAAATGGGTAAGCAGTAAATTCTAAATAATTGAGAACAGTTCAGAAATGGTGGGAGAAGCAAATTGAAACTCCTGGAGTTGTGGCAAAGAGGGAAAGATGGAAGAATACTGAAGGCAATCTTAAAAATGAAAGCAGAAGAAGCATGTTGTCCAAGATCAAAATGAGGCTAGAGTATGGCTCACAGTTAGCTCTGTGCTCACAGCTAGTAAATACATTCTGGCTTGGAGCCCAGGCTGTGGAGGCCTTGGTCACTGGAGTGTAGGTATTGTTAAGTCTCTAAGTGTGAACAGTGAGGGGGCTGGGGACAAGCAGCCATTGCTTCTAAGTTCTGGCACTTGCTCTTTCTTTCCTAGGGGCTTTCAAGACCCTCTTAACTGATTTACCTACATTTCAACTCCCCAGTATGCCTCCTACAATGTTTGTTCCTAACTTCTATTTTCTTTTCCCCTTTTGTTGAAGAGGTTCTTTCTCATACAGTCTATACTGATTACTATTTCCCCCTCTACTCCTCCCAGGTCCTCTCTACCTCCTTTCCCATCCAGATCCACCCCCTTTCTGTCTCCATTAGGAGAAAAAAATAGGTTTCTAAGAGATATCATATAAAACATAAAAAAATATAAGATAAAATGAAAACCATCGCACTGAAGTTGGATAAGGCTAACCAATGGAAGGAGAAGAGTCAGAGAAGGCACAGAAACCCACTTGTGCACACACTCAGGAGTCCCTTGAAAACACTAGACTGAAAGCTATCATATATACACAGATGACCTGATGCAGGCCACGGTAGGTCCTGTGCTTGCTGCTTCAGTCTCTGTGAGTTCATTTGAGCTTTGTCCAATTGGTTTAGAAGGCCTTGTTCTCCTGGTGTCCTCTGGCCCCTAAAGGTCTTATACTCTTTCTGCTTCTTCTTCTTTGGGGTCCCCTGAGCTCTGAGGGGAGGGATTTGAATGAAACATCCCATTTAGAGATCATATTCCAATGTCTTTCTCTCTGTATAATGTCTGGCTGTGGGGCTCCATATCTGTTTGAATAAGGCAGTGATCTGTGAGTATAGTAGAATATCATTAGGAGTCATTTTATCTCTACTTTTTAAAAAATTTTAGACCAGTAGTATCTGGTTTTACCATAGGTCCCTGGTTTTGGTTACCCAAGTAGTGTCAGTTATGGGTTCTGCATCATGGAGTGGGCCTTCAGGAAAAGCAGACATTTGCTGGTTACTTCTATAAGCTTTGCCCAAGCATACTCTGCAGGCAGGACAGCATTGTAGATCAAAGATTCTGGGGCTGGGTTGGTGTTTCTGTCTTTTTATGTACCCTGCAGATTACCCTCCCATATCAAAGACACTAGACCTTAGGGGTGAAGGTTCTCTGGAGGTAAAAGCTTACCTCTCCATGTTCAATGAGTTGTGTGAATGTTGTCTTCGGCAGTGTGGCCTTGCTGTCTAGTTTCTATTTTGTTTTGTTTTTGTTTGTGTTTTTCCACACTAGCCAAGTGCTTTACCACCGAGCCATACTCCTATCTCCTCTTCCACTCTTGTTTACAAGTTCCTCTGATTAAATCTGGATGTGGAATTCAATATTATACTTTCTCATG